ATATATATATATATATATATATATATATATATATATATATATATATATATATATATATATATATAGAGAGAGAGAGAGAGAGAGAGAGAGAGAGAGAGAGAGAGAAGATGAAGTCGATTAGAACTGTGTTTCGTACCCATGCAAAATTCTGACAAGTTCCTCATCAACCAAAGGATGGTAGACGCCCACAACTGCAGCACCTTTCATTCTCAAAAGTTTGCTTCTTGCACCAGTAGAAGGATCACTCATAACAATGTATCCCACCTGAACAGTAGCAGGAATTGAGTTTGGGACTGAGACCAGGCAAGAGAAGGAAAAACTTTCTTAGTATATGCAATGGAGCAAATTCCTAATTGACATCCCAGCTACATCTTATGTAGCTGTGCCTATAATGATATGACAATGAAACTACGAGACTCTAAATAAAACTTAATCAGCAATGTAAAAGACAAATTTATGGAGGTATGTTATACCCCAACTTCTTGTGATAGCTTGATAACATCATTTGCCAAGACGTCACTCTTTGCCCAGACAAGGCAATTTCTGCATTGCGTTCTCTTCACCTGTCAACATTTAATTAAGGAAAAGAAAATAACATGTAAGAAAATAACACTATAGTCAATTTCACTATGATGTTCTTTTCAAGGATATACGAGTAAGAAAATAAAATTTTAGTGTATCTTAGAATATACACAACAAGAAAAAGATACTATAATGTCCCAACTATTTGGGGTCAACTGATATATATGTTCAGTTTTCCATATTTTTTCTTTCCATTCTTATTTCTCTACTTTTCTTTTAGAACATTTTCAGCCAACCCTTGATTTACTGACATGATCCCACTGATCATGATCCTACCCATGGCCAATCTAACCTGATTTTTATCCTCTAAACAATGACTGATGATGAAAATATTTCATATAAATGGTAGACCTCAAGCTAACATTTTCATCATTCACTTTTTTCTCAGTGAAAATGCTATTATTTTGAAAATGCTATTATTTTGTTGATGTTGGGATATAGATCTTGAATTACAGGCATTGGTTTTCATAATTCTGTACCAATCACCACAAGCTCGCCCAACTAAGATGTTCTGAACTGGGGCCAAGCAGAACCCCATATATATGGACATCTAAGCTTGGTTAACACCAAACTTAAGATAGCATCCTTTCTAGAAATTCCTATGAATACAGCAGCAATAGATTAATTACAAATAACCGAACTTACAATTGACAGTATGTCCTTTGCTAGGCCTTTCTCATACAATGGTGGGCCGACTTTTGCATCCACAATGACCTGCCTAATTGAGTTTGCTATTGTCTGCATAAGTAAATGAAACGAATGACAAAATTACAATCCAGAAAAATGACTATCATTGTTACTAGCTGACCAGAAGAAAATCATTATTGTAGCTGTCATAATTCTGTTACTTCATTTGGTAAATCTCTAATAGACAATATATTGATCAGTAAGTGAAAGCAAAAAAGAAGAAAGAACTTCAAGAAATATGGTGTTTATACCGCCAATGCATCTTCAGCTGTAGGAACTTTTTGGTTGTGAAATTCTTGTGCAAACTGAAGGCCTGCATCCAGTTCCTTTATCTATAGCACAAACTAAAAGATCACCTTATAAAAGTGACTTCCCCAATATACAAAGAATATAATCAACACAAGAAACTGATCAGTTGTAATTTCAGATGTTCAATAATAAAATTTCTTTCAATTTCAAATTTTGTAACAGAACATGCTATCAAGAAAATGCAAACAATTTAACCAAATAATCAGCTATCCTCCAATAAATTTCAATAATGTACATAAAGATAGCCTTTACTGTGCCAGTGTTCATCAGTAATCTAATTTTTTTTTTTGTAGTCATGTCTATTCGGCATTAAATAGCCTTCTTAATGATTAAAATGGTTATATATGTCCGTAGTTTAGTATTCTAGTTGACAGCTTAAGACAAATTTTCTCCTCTTTGAATTAGAGATTCATTTTTAGAGGCATCAATTCCAATATAATCTGGGAACAAACCTAGAACTATCACTTCCAAGCTATTTATTAAGAAGATTTGTTGTTGCCTTCCAATGAGTTCATCCTATTTAAAAATGTGATGATAAATGCAAAATAACAACATTCAAGAATATTGCAGCATAACTACCGTTGGCTTGCAATGTAACTTGAATTCTATAAGACAGGATTTGTCATGTTGACATTGGCAAACAAAGATTATGCAACATGCAGATATACTACTTTCATTTGAAATTATTTGTTACACAAATCAATAACAACAAGGTCAAACTTGGCTGTTTACAAGAAATCATTAAAGAAAATGGCCAATTTATCATGTCATAACAGCTGAAGCAATCCGGATATGAAGCAAATTCTCCTGGTTTGTAGGTAAAACAGACCCATGTTATATTTTTGTGATATGTTTTATTTATATTTACTTTTGTATCTCTATCATTCATTCTTTATGATGTATATTTCTGGAACTATAAGAATGTGAATTGGTCATTATGAGAGAAAGATATTGTCAACAGAATATAGGAAGAGGAAAGAAACAAAGCTGGTATAGACTTACTCATGTCAAGACAAGTGAACAGACAAAAAACTGAATTCTTATCATTGGTTATAGATAAAAATTACAGAAGGGCACTAGGTAGCTTCCACACCATGTGATTAAAATCAAAATGCCACTTGATTCATGAACTATAAAAGAGAGAACTCTTACCTGATTCATGTTCATGTAGCCAACTTTTGCAGTACTATTACCAGACATCCTCTGCAGATCCCTGCCTGTGTCATGTAAGAATTAGGTCTAAATGATGCTTAGAAAAAGTAGATAAAATAGTGCCTTAGATGGAATCGTAGTCAGAAAATTATATTAAGCTGCCACAGATAAATTTCATGTTTTTCTGATGCAAAATATAATTTTCTGACTATCTGTTCAATATCTAATTCAAGAGTATTTGAAAACGCCAGTACTCCAAATCAATCTGGTTGCAAAAGAAGTGAAATTTCATGCATTTCCTTAGAAGTGCAGGTGGACCTTTTTAACTTCATGAAAGCCAAATTCATTTGAATAGGATAGAACGAGCAACTAATCAAATGACATATATGTAATACAATCACCTTAAAACTGTCAAAGCATGTCTTAACAGAGATTTTATCTAAGTTTCTGAACCAAGGACTATTCTAGGGTCGAAGGAGAGGATCAGAATAGACAGCAAAAGAAAACAGGTGAAAGTGAGGGGAAAATAACAGTCCTTTAAGACTTCAAAGCAACTGTTGATGAAAGTTACACAAAATGTAAATCGCAACATTTTCGTTCCCCTTCTGTGGGTATAGAAAATTTAGCAATCTGCAGTTCCTTCTAATATTCATCCTCTTCTTATGAAATGCAATTCCAAAGCATCCTCTTTTGCCACTACAGAACTGAATTATTCCAAACTATATTGTCGCACTGGCATGCACCCACTTGAAGGAGACCAAATCTCGTTAACAGATAACACCACATAGCTTAATGTGTTTCAGGATGCAGTAAAGCATACAAACTTTTACCAATCCAAAATTGAAGTGAAGCAACAAAAATAATATGAACCGCACCGATCATGCAGCGCAAACAGCACCCCATCTGAAGAACGAGAGACATCTATTTCTATGCAATCCACTCGAGAATCGATGGCGACGCGATAAGCATCCATCTGTTAATAGGTCAGAACAAGGAGGAAAAACCACACTTACCAAAAATAATCGTACAGAAAAACGGAAGAACAATTATTACGGTGTTGGGGACGGCCTTGCTCGAATCGCCTCCATGAGCACAGACAAGGGGAGGACTTTCCAACCACCCGCACTTCCTCGATCGCATCTGAGTCGAACGGATCGAGGTCAACACCAAAGTTACAAAAGAGATAAAAGAGCAGGATTTAGGGTTTCAAGTATAGGATCAGATTTACGTGATGACCGGTACCTGTTGGAATCGGCGGAGGCGGAAGTGGAAGTAGAGGGGTGGGGCGAGAGCGAGGACGGCGAAGAGGAGGAGGAGGCGAAGGAGCGACCTCTTGGAGGGGATGCGGAGTAATCGCGCTCGTGCAAGCTTCTTCTGGCTCGATGAGTGATGGGGGAGGATAGGAGAAGACGGTGAAGGCCTCCTCCCGACGCCGATCGCCTTCATTTCGCTTCTGTTTTTTTGTTTTTGTTTTCTGTTTTGTGATTTCTGAATCGAACCGTTTTGTTATGCATCGACGAGCCGAATATAAATATATTCCGTTCACTATTGTTTCATTCTATTTTAAAAACTAAAATTATTATTAAAAATTAATTAATAAATATCAAATTTTATAAATAATAATAATATTAATAAAGTTTACCTATCATTATAATAATAAAATTTAAATATATTCAAATATATCTAAATATAATCATAACCAAATAAATATCCAAATAAATCTATAAATTAATCATTTTATTAAATTTTATGCTAGTGTGTCCTATAAGATGGATCTTACATAAAGAAATATATATATAAGATATCTGACAAAAAAAATTTAAAAATAAATAATCTTATTAAAATTAGAATATATCAATTATTTCATAATCATCTTTATCATCTTCAAAAGGACACACGAATTTACTATTTTATATTTATTTATTATAAAAATAAAAATAATTAATAATTAATAATTAATATTAAATAAAAATTGAAGTATTTCACTCAAATTAAGGTTCATATTATGTGTTTCATCCCATAATCAATCTTAAATTTTTAATAAAATATTTTATTTTTATATTTTTACTATTTTATTTATATAAAATTTTTAATATATTAAAAATTAAATACAAAATTAGTTTAGTGGTTAATGTTGGAATGTTTATAGGTATTGGATTCAGTTCGTATATATGTATATTTTTATTTATATATTTTTTAAAAAAAATATTATAATAAATTGTAGAAAATTCATACAAACATGTGGAGATGAAGCACCTAAAAAATAAAATAAAATTGAAGTTTTTGACATAATAATAAAGGTGGGGTGCCTCTCTAAAATAAAATGAAGTTCGAGCTACTTGACAAAATGATGAAGATGAAACACCTAACTTAAAAACTATAATATGAGCCTCATGACAAAATAACGGAGGTAAAACACCACGCTAAATCTAGGGATGATGCTCTCTACTAAAGTTAGCTAGATTATGGGCTCCGGTATTATTGTTTCTATTGGTATGTATCTATCGTGCCATCGTAATTTCTTTTGTATAGAAAAATATGTCTAAGCATGAGAAGTGTATTTTTCAAGAGATTGAATGATAGTTTGAAAAGATGTTGGTTAATGATTTAATGTTGGTTAATGATTTAATAAAAACTCTGATCCTAGATGCCTTGTTTTGTCGGGTAGCTTTTAAGCTATCAAAGATGATAATTGCTTCTTCCTATATGAGAGTGGAGGGGAGGTGTTTGTCACATCCCTCCAACACAAGTTTGTTCTCCCAATTAGTTAGAAAGAAATATGTACATATAAAAGAAGATGAGGGATTAAATAAGTCCAATAAGATGAGGGGTCTTTTTTATTCCCTCAAGGCAAATATTGAAAATACTATCATAAAAAAAAAAGAGCTATGTATCATTTGGCTTTAATTCCGACCCTTTCTTCAGCCATGATCCATTCAATCATGTGTCAAAATTAGAATGTCTATTAGAGTTTAGTTTTAGCAAGGTGTCAATAGTTATGGATGAAAATGCACTCAAAGCATATTTGTTTAGTAGAGTCTTGACTAGAGTTACTAACTAGATGTGAGCAAATATAGTTGTGTAGAAATCTAGATATCTACTCGGAGACGTAGTCTTTTCCAAAGTAATTTCCATAGGAAAATTTTAATATAGGAGATAACAAGATGGCTTTACATTGTTGTCTACCCATGTCAATTGGAATTTTGAAATACAGATCTTTTTCTCTAATGTACTTATAAGTAGTTTTTAGATGGCTATTTGTAAGGGGTGAAGAGTCTACACTAAAATATTATCATAGGGGGTCTCGAGAAGAAAGATATGAGAGATGAAGGAGACAAGATATGATCCATAGAGGCTACATAAAATGTGTATATTCCATTTGCTATGATCTAAGAGCTCATGAATCATGCTAAATTTAGAGATGAGGTTGATATTAAGATATGTAAGCCATTGTAAGAAAGGGGTATTTCTAACCCATAGATCTTCCCAAATAAATATTTGCTTGGCTTGGTAATAGTCAAAAGTTAAGAAAGATCTTTCCAAGTGTAAAAGAGGCTTTAAAAATTAAGTCCAACAAAGTATGCCATATTTGGCTAATATTAAGTTAACCCATCTTCTTAATCCAATAAAGGTAGGAGTTTGTGAGCACCTATGATAGATTTTACTATGTGAAGGTCTCTAAGCCCTGCCCTCACACTTTAGGCTAGTTACATAATCCTAGTCAAGGAGAAAAATCTTTTTTTGAGATGAGCTGCTATTCTTTAAAAAATTTCTAGAGAGCTTAATGATCTTATTAATATTAAAGCCAAATATCCATGTGTTTATAATGGTGTAAAAGGTAATTGATCGCTAAGATAATAAAGATAGATTTTTTAGCCTAGGATAATATGGTATGGTTTTAGTCTTGAAATCTAACAAGAACTTTCTCAATCATAATATCTTAATACCTATTGGGAAGTCTGCAATGATAGATATAATAGATGTAAACACCCAAATAATGAAGAGGCTAGTTGACCTCTTTTATTCCATGAATGTTATAAATTTGGAGCGTGGTAAATGGATTGCAAATTTTAAGGAATAAGATTTCAGACTTGCATTTGTTAACCTAAAGGTCGATGATAGTAGAATAGGAATCTAAAGCCTTAAGAAGATTTCTACAAGACTACTCATTAGCTCTAATAAAGAGGATGATGATGTTAATAAATATTAGGTAAGTGATTTTGAAGTTTTTTATGTTAAAATATGATATATTTTTCCTATCATAGAGGTCATCTAAGATGCTGGTGAAGATTTATTGAACTATGATAAAGAGAAATTAGAATAATGGATTTCCTTGCCTGATGCTTTTCGATTGTTAAACTATGGAGATTGACCCAATCAATGAAAAGGAGGGGAAGTTTACTTGTTATAAAGCTCTAGTGATTGCTTTCTAGGAGATTGAGTTGAAAACTTTGGCAAGATATAATTTGATAAGAACCTAAGGGGCCTTAACCTTGGAGTAATACATAGTATGCATAAGTTTATATATAATGATAATATTATCATATATGGAATGACCGATAATAAAGGCAAACTAATTTTGAGTAACCGAGTTGCTTATCAAGTGCGTAATTCTATTAATGATAACCTCATAGAGAAATTTATATAGTATGTTATAAAAAGAATTATGCTTGAATTCGGAGATTACGGTAGAGTTGGTTTTCTTAGGAATGGAGACTAGATAAGTCCTGGACCAATGAGAGATTCTAAGGTATGAGTGAAGGAATTGAATGCCTTAAAAATGTCAAGCCCTAGAAAGCTCCAATAGCTCTTATAAAATTCAACAGTACACCAATCACCAATCATAGCTAGGGCTCTTCTCGAGGACTATGTCACTGAGAGCATGTCATTTTAAAAAAAATAAATTAATGGATAACCTACTATGAGCATTCGATGGGATGGCTAGGAGAATGGTCCAAGAGGGTATGGTGGTGGGAGACAAGAAGTATTCCACAAATTAGTATACTAATTAGTGAAGGCATCACTAATGTTGTCGATGTTTTCTAAATTAATGGAGTGGATGGTATTGGCTCCCTTTCTCTACCTAACCATATGATGAAAGTATTTTATATTTTTATCGACCTCTTGAAGCTATTTAGTCTTTAACTCTGGAACTCCACTTAAGATGGATTTGCCTAAATAAGGCAATGAACTTATTGTAGAGATATTATAGTTTGGTATGATTCTCTAGCGTTAAGCCAGAAGTAATTTCTTTAAGTTCAAGATTCTTAATCTCTAGCTTAGTCTTTATTAAAGCCTTATCAATATTCCTTAGCTAGTTTTTACTCTAATATTGGAGTTTGTATTAAAGGCTAAGGAAACCATGGTGTATAGCATTCATAGGGTTAGTAGTAAGGCTTAAAGAAAACCAATAATCATTGATAATATGACCAACCTTAGGGTACTTATGTCAGTAAGAATCAAATCTAAAAATCTTGTGGGAGTCCTTGAACAAGGTGGCCAAGATAAGAAGAAAAGTATGGTCAGAGAAAATCTAGGAGAGATGCTTAACATGTGCATGCAGAAAGAAAGAGAGCTAGATATCTAAAGCCAAGGCTCTATCAAGACAAGCAAAGACTCAACAAACACCAAATTCGTTATTACACTAAATGAAAACCAAACCCAAGAAACCAATATCATGGAGATTGTAATAAATAATAAAATCTTAAAAGACTTTAATGCAAGAAATATGCATAAACTATTTGTCACCATATTTTTTAGAAGTCAAAGTAATGCAGTTAATGTAGAGAATTTTTGGGGACGATATCACAGCGAAAGAAAAAAAAAAAAAAACCCCAAAATTAAATTTTCAATGATATATTCGTCATCATGCAAAGATTAGTGTACAAAATCTATAAAACTAAAAACTATATATATGAAAGATTATGTTATCTAGGGAGATCATGTATCCCTGAATCCTTACAGATTTGTAGGAGATGGTGTAGAAGGTCAAGCGTCATTCTCTCTAGCAGTGATCCACACAATAAGGTTGCAACGATACTCCTCAAATCTCTAGGCCTACCATCTGAGGAGGAGAATAGGTGGCAACCAAAAACCTATAGCCTATGAACTTTCGGTTCTTTCCTATTTGTAGAGGCCCTTTGTCAACTTAACCCTAAAAGATTCTACCATATTGGGTATTGGAACTCTATCCAACTACCCAAGTCTCTTAGATTAGTGAATCTCTATCTAATAATCTCTTATTGGATCTTATCTATAAGATCAAATAATTTAAGGGCTTATTGGATATCCAATAAGATAGGGACTCCGACAAATATCTCATATCCGAACCTTTACTCGTCGTAATACCTACCATATGTGTGTGACTCTCTAGGCCCAATAACGAGTTTGTCGTGAGTCATACTTGTCAGAACTCCTTCTAGTTTAGTGAATTATTATCTCTATAATAATTCAATCAACTCATCAACTGTGGACGTACTAGGCCACTATGTCG